AAAGAACAACCATATATATTTTTTTAAGCAGAGGTGATTGGTGGTACTTTTCAAAGTCTTGGTCGGGGTAGAACTTCTAGATTAAATAAAGTCCAAGTATAAAATTTGAAGACGAATTGTATATTAGACCATAAATGTCGGTTTGTTATTGACTTTTACCAACGGAAGTATGATTTGGATTCGCTGTTTCACTCAATCAATAGTGTTATTTTAACGACTTTATTCTGCCTTCTTTCTTTGTGTGTGACTAGAAAGCAAAATTCTGGATCATTTTTTGCTTCTGGTCATAATAATAATAGTAGAAAAATAAGGCTGTTTGTCCATAAATTACGAGGGGTTGTTTTCTTTAGAACACGTGGGCAGGGGTGTAGGGGCAGGCGGCTAGACAAAGAAAACAAGCAACTGAAATCAAAATGCCACGTACGTAGTTAATGTAAGTATCGTCGACCACATTTTATTACTATTAATAATATTATTATTTGATTATTGATTATAAAAAAATATTAGATAAATCCTATAAAAATTATAGTTATTATTTTTATTTATTAAAATATGGAGTACTTTATAGTCTTTCTTTTTTTATTTTTTGGTGAAGTATAGAAGGAATTATATTGAACACAAAAGAAGTTGAGTTTATGGATATACTAAAAAATATATATATAATTGCGTTTTGAGTTATTTAAGGGTTTTGTTATTTTTTTTTTCTATTTGAATTACATTATTGGATCTAATGCAGTGGGTTTAATTAAAATCATACATAAGAAATGCATACTATGATTAATAATTAGATATATTTGGTTTTTTAAAAAATGAGCAGAAACAATGATCTATTTGGTTTCTCGCCCAGTACTACTCTGAACTCGACCAGCTGTGGCGCACCAGAATGGTGAATGGGTCTCTCAACGAAGGCTGCTGCGTACACAAGGTTTCAAACTCGAAATTTTACTTAAGTTGGAACAAACCGCTTGCCACTTGATCTAACCCCTCGTTGGTAACAATGATCTATTTGATTACTTAAAAAAATTAGTGGGTAGAACATTAAGAAAAGAAAAATCTTATATTTACAATCTTTCATTTTCCTTCCCTGTCTTCTGAGTTTTCTTGAAAGAAAATATACCATAGAGATTTACCTATTTTGAATATGAGAATTCTTTTAGGAACAAAATCCTAAGATTTAAGAAACAAAACAAATAATAAACACTTCACGACAAAAATTATTGATATCAAGATTATTGGCCCTTATGTGAGAACTCATTGACACTTTCTTGACAAACCAACGGGTAATAATTAACCTATGTTTAATTTGGGAGCTAATTAATATTTGATGAAATATGATTATAAAGATTCTTACCTGACTTACAAGTAATTTTGCGAGTAAAAGAATCTAATAAATACGTATTTAAGAAGATGTACAAAACATCGTTTAGAATATCATTTTTTCTTGATGATGATTAATTAAACAAAGAATAAGATAACATTGATAGTAATTATTTAAGGGAGTAGTTAAGTCTTAATAATTGCACCTGGTCTTACGCGCCGTTTAAGCTAAACCTAGCTGCGCCTCCCCAACCTAAAATGAGGTAGACTCAGAGCCTTATCAATGAGTTATGATCTATAATTGATGATTCATAAAAATTTAGGAAATTAATTGTAATATTTTTTGTTTCGGTTTCTAAGCAGGGGCGGAGCTACACGGAGATGGGGGGGGGGGGGGGGCCCCCCTGGCATTTGAAAAAAAATATATAATTAATTTACTTATTATTATTATTATTATTAAAATTTTAAATATTATATTTTTAATTATTAAAATACATAAAATAAAAAAATCCAATAATAATTAGCTATTTTAGAAGTTCAAATATAATCTATATAATTTATTATCTACTTTAACAATTTAACTATTTATTATTATTTAAAACCCACTCATCTCATGGCCCACAATTGAATTCGATAAAAAAAAAAAAAGTTATCATGTTTTTTATATCATTTCTCTAGTATCAAATCCTACTGTCCTAGTGCGATAGTGTCAATCTCCTTCAACCTAAACCCAACAACTTTCAAAAATAGAAAAGAAACAGAAAAAGAGACTCCGTTGGCATTCCGATGTAAGCAATTGCAACATTGCTCTCATCATTGAAAGTTTGAAGATAAAAAGACCACTAACTTCTTGATAGAAACTAAAACCAACACTAGCTTAATTCATATGAATCATATATTGTCATATTATGTTTCAACTTTCAAGTTTTGTAAGTTTTTTTAATTTTATTTTAAAATTTTGTCGTATACTTATTAATAGATATGTTCTAACAAAGAAATTAGTATACCCTCTTCTTGTCCTAGAAGAATTGATATTTTTTATTTAGAATTTATCTTTGAAAAAATAGTAATTTTCTTATTTTAAGGAAGGTAAATAATTTTTTTTGCTTAAACCCTATGATTATCTCTTAACTTTAATTATTTATCTTCTTATTGAAATAGATATTTATTTTTAGTTATTTTTTAAGTATAAAAAAGGTAAAGATAGAAATTGTCTTCAATCCCTTAATTTGAAGATAAAACAAAAAATCTATTATTTTAGTATGGAAGGAGCAATATTTAAGTCATGAAACTTATTGATTTTTTATTATCACAAAATATTGTCTAATTTTCTTTTAGGATTTAAAGTTGTTGAGATTACAAATAAAATTAAATATTATGATAATATTGAAGTTATATTGAAATTATATGAAATAGAATTGGATCGTTGTAAAAAAAATGGAAAAAAAAAAGTATAAATCCATAAAGGGAACATATATGAACCCAGTAAAAGAAAAAACCTTGATATAGTCGTATAAAGAAAGAGCAATATGAAGATAAACTAGTATAAAAGGAAGATAAACTAGTCTAAAGTGTAATTAGCTTGTAAAAAGTGGAAAAAATTTGTTTGATTGTAGAAAGT